TATATTATGTCTTCTTTTCCCTTTTTTTAAATAAATCTTTGGTGTTCATTCACCACTGCGTGTACAAAGCCTATGAGTTCCACCGACTTAGCCTTCGGGCTAACACGCGGTGCGGCTCATAGGTCACGACCGAAGTGTTCCCCTTTGGTCGTGGGTAGCTTTTGGTAGCCTAGCAAACTACCAAATTCTTACACACTGTATTTTTCTCCATATGCATTGTCCAAAATGAAAAAAGCAGCCTCTTATTCGGATGTCCTTGAAAACGTCTGCAATCGCACCTAAAAGCGCTTGTTCAAAATCAACCATAACACTTGCTGGCCGTAAATTGTTTTCCAAATTTAGAAGTTCTTTTATAATTTTAGTATAACTATCACGTGTTTTATTTGGCACAAGTGCAAACACTAACGGTAATACTGTGTCGTATTTTATTGCGTGGATTGTAAGAAGCTGAGTAAAGAGTTGTGGGGATGACTTAAATGTACCATCAATAAACCAATGACACTGGTCAGATAATATTTTTAAATTTTCTTCAGTTGAAAACAATAATAATTTTTTTATAAAAATGTTGTTTTTTTAACAATTTGAAACTATGTAAAAAAATATTTTCAAAAAAATGAATACTTTTGGAAATAATAAGTGTTGTTTGATAAAAAAATCACCCTGTATATCCTTCTTTTGACGAAGAAATGTCCAACGGGGAAAATCGCTGGACGGGGAAATATTGGACGGGGAAAGCGTAACGGGGAAATGTCTAACGGGGAAATGTATTACGGGGATTCGTCCATGAATCAGTGATGATGATGATAATGATTGATGATGATGATGATAGTGATGATGACAATGACCATGAAGATGATAGTGAAGACAGCGATGATGAAGACCACGAAAATGAAGATGATAGAGAAGAAAGTTATATACCCATTTTTTTTCTGTGTAACACAAAAACAGTTTATTTATATTGGTAACACTGCAATTTTAAATTTAAATTTTTTTCAAACTTTAAAATTAATAATCTAATCTAGTTCAGTTTAGTTAGTGTTAAACCATCATTCGATCAAGAACTATTATTTATTTAAAAATTCTTTATTTTACAAAAATGAATTTTCCAAATTTTAGCAACAATTTTTGTTCACTAGTTTCTTTAGTACAAAATAATACATATCCTAAATACCCAGAATATACAAAATTTCTTCAAGATTGAAAACATTCAATTTATTCCCGTTAACTTCATCTCAAGATAAATACTCATTAGCTGAAAGCGGTTTTAAATTTTAAAAGATATTGTTAAATGTTTTTGCTGTGGACTCATCTTACATAATTGGGAAAAAGATGATATTCCATGGATTGAACACACAAGATAGAATCCAAGGTGTATACACAACAAATTATTATCAAAAGGAAATCAGTTTGTTGAAAATATAATAAATAAGTACGGATAGATAAACGATGTATGTCATTGTGATTGTGAATTTAAAATATATATGATACTATGAATTAACATTTTTTTATTTTTTCCTGTTTTTTTTTTCAAAAAATATTTTATTAAAAAAAGTTTTTAGCTAGGTATTTTTAATCTTTGCCTAGATTGTATGTATAACTTTTTCCTATTAGTAATAATACTTGTGAATAAAATACCTACCTTTAATGTTACAAAATATTTCACTTAATATTCAAAATTAAAATTAAAAAATTATTATAAAATGCGTATTAAAGCATATTATATAATAATTTATTACCTATAAATATTTTTACATTCTACCTTCTACACTTGAAAAAAATACTTCATTCATCCATGTCATTTTTGAGGTACAATAATAATACATGCATTCTTTTTCAGTTTAAGTAATATATGTACTTAACACGTTGACCGCCATGTGCCCGCCGGCGGTTATTTGGTTATTTATTTCTGGACGCCACGGCGTATTTCATCGGGATTCCTAAAATGTTATCGTCGATATTTATAGTACTATTCGACAGAAAAATACAAAATTGATATCGATGTAATTACCTCGGTCTCGTGAATATTATTTTTGTATTGATAATATGTGGTAGCCGGCGGGCACGTGGCGTAGTGATAATGTCAATATTACTTATACGCCATTTGACTACCGGCGGTCACGTATAGTTTAATGCTGCGTATTCTTTTTATAACAAATATTTATTTATCATACTTAAAATGTATCCGCGACCAAAAAGAGTAAAATTAAATGATGATTTTATAACTGCACTATTAGAAGATAATAGCGAAAGTTCACTAAGTGAATTTGATGATTCAGATGCAGACAAGACGTTTAATCCCATCAGTTCTTCGGAGTCTGAAGTCCTAAGTGGTAAGAAAATTTATATATTTTACATCTTTATATCTTACTATTCCATCAAAAGTAAAAAATTATAGATTGTCATTTCGTAAATATTTATAGAAATTTTATGTTAAGATTTTATTATTCGAATTATTATCATATTCCGTAAATAATTTTTATAATTTTGAATTCTCTATAGAGCTAAGTGATAATAATGAACCAAGCATCTCGAGTAATATTTCTGTAGCATCGCAAACTTGGACAAATGTAACTGGAAATTATCAAAAACCACTGAAATTTTATAATAATTCTGGACTAAAAATTGATATATCAGTTGATTCTACTGCGTGGGATATTTTGAATTTATTTTTGACTAATGAAATAATTGAGCTTATAGTCGAAGAAACCAATAAAAATGCCCAACAGTTTTTATCGAAAAACAGATTGACAAAATCTAGTAGATTTTCTAAATGGATTCCCACAGATCAACAGGAAATAAAAAAGGTTTTTGGTTTAATTATTTGGATGGGGTTAGTTCAAATGCCCACTTTGGAAGACTATTGGAGTATAATTACAAGGTATAAAAATAATGTAGTGCAAAAAATTATGTCAAGAAATCGGTTTGAATTAATTCTTAGATTTTTACATTTTTTGGACAATGAAAAAGCTCCTGACGATAGGATTTATAAAGTGCGCGATTTAATTGATAAGTTAATTGAAAATTTTCAAAAAATATTTGAACCTGATGAGTTTTTAGCTGTTGATGAGACAATGGTCCCTTTTAGAGGGAGGTTGACTTTTAGGCAGTATATACCAGGAAAAGCGCACAAATATGGGGTAAAGTTGTTATTAAAGTTATGCGGAACGAATGGCTATACGTATAATGTGCAAATATATGCTGGAAAAAGTCAAGTCGATGGGAAAGGCCTAGGATGCAGAGTAGTGTTGGACTTAAGTCAGAGGTATTTGAATGCTGGGCGGACAATAATCACTGATAATTTTTATACCTCCGTGCCATTAGCGTATGAACTTTTAAAAAACAAAACACACCTGGTAGGAACATTACGATCAAACCGAGTTAAATTACCAGAAGTAACCAAGGCTAAACTAAAACCAAATGAAATAGTTGGAAGGGAAAATATTGATGGGATCGTCATAGCCAAATGGAGGGACAAGAGGGACGTCACAATATTAACTACACGACAT